TTCAAACCAACCATGTGTCGGCCCATGCCTTAGAAAAAAGCATGTTCATGGAGCTGCTAAAGGATCTTCCTCCCTTGCCAATCGAATTCATTGACTATGCCTTCATCATGCCATTCAAGTGTCAACTTATGTGTCTTAGGTGGGGCATTATGCACATTTTATATGTCGGAGAATTGTTATGGTATTGGATAGGTATGAAGCCTTCATGCCTCACATTTTGTCTTGAGTGAATGTGAGGCATGAAGGTATTCCCCCTTCATCATGCATGTATTTACCTTGTTAATGCAATATAAAGTGATTCTTTACTAATTTGAGTGCCTTCTTTGTTGCCTTTGTGTGTGTTGTTACTTCTTTTGTAAACTTACTCGGTTATTTTGAGTGCCATAAATTGGGCTTGATCTCGGGCACGGGGCGGGCTTGAGTTGACCATAAACCTGACCCAACCTGTCGGACTTGCACCCCTATTATAACATATGTATAGATATTTTGTTTTTGCATACATATTTACATACATACATAAATATATGTATATATATTTGCATAAATACATTTATATATGTATAATTTTAGAGTGGGTTCATTGACCAACCCAAGCCTAGCCCGGGCCTGAGCCCAACCCGAGTGCATTAAATTACAGGGTGGGTTGTGCTTGGGTTGGGAAAATCGGGCTTGGGCCTTAACCCCAAATTTTAGGGCTGGGCCTAGGTTGACCATAAACCTGGCCCAACCCGCCCGTTTGCACCCTGACAATAAAAAGTCAACCAAGACAAAACTAGGTCAAGGTAATTATATGCAAAGAGTATCTTCATGTTTATAACATTAAACATAATCAGAGAAACCTATATGTAAAGGCAAAGGGATAGTGGGCAACCTTGATAAAGTCTGCAAATAGGTTTGAGTGATTTGGAAGTTGCTTGTAAGTATAATGATTGAATTATGAATAAAAACATAATTCAATAGGTTTTCAAACACTTTGGAAAGAAATACATATCTAACCCAAGTTCGACCCAAGTTTTAGTGTGGGTTGGGCTTGAGCTTTTGGGCTACGGGTTGGTCTTGGGCTAGAAAGCTTGGGATGGTGTGTTGGATAGCTCAAATTCAACCTGAGCCCAATCCAATATATATATATATATATATATATATATATATATTAAAACAAAGCGGTCAAGAAATTTTCTCCTTTTTTTGAATTTTTTGTTTTTTATTTCATGTCATTTTTTAAACAACCAATGAGATGCACTTTCATAATAACCTAAATAATCTCTTCTCCTAAAATTTATCCTAAACTACCTCCCCCACTTTCTCCAGAATTATCTCTAGTTCCTATTTATCTCCACAATTATCTCTAATTTAGTAGAGAGTTTCTCTCCTAAATTATTTCTAATTCCTATTTATCCTCTCCCCTACTTTTTATCTATATCTATCTAAAGAAAATTTGGATTAAAAAAATTAAAGAATTATTTAAATATTCTAACAAAATTATATAATAACTTTAAAATATTTATTAAAAACACAAAAAATAATTTTATATTTTTACAAAATATATCACGAAATTATGTACTAACAATTTAAATTATATTTTTTCCGAATTATCAATTTAAATGCTTTTCAAATATTTAATAATATGTAATAGCTTTAAATAAATAAAATTCAAATAACAAAAAAAATTAAATATTTTATAGATTATTTAAATATTTAAATAACTAAATATTTATCATAACTATATTTTAAATAGTTAAAATAATGAAATGATCTAATAAATAATTTTATATTTTTACAAAATATATCACGAAATTATGTACTAACAATTTAAATTATGTTTTTCTAGATACTCGATTTAAATGTTTTTCAAACATTTAATAATATGTAATAGCTTTAAATAAATAAAATTCAAATAACAAATAATTTTAAATATTTTATAGATTATTTAAATATTTAAAAAACTAGATATTTATCATAACTAGTTCTTAAATAGTTAAAATAACTAAATTATGTAATAAATTTAAAAAAAATTCTTTAAAGCAGAAAATAATTATAACATAATATTGAAATTAATAATAATTTAATATATTACAAAATTAATAACGAAATTATGTAATAATAGTATAAATTATGATTTTATGGATAATTAAATTCCATGAACAACTAATATTTTACATATTATTTAAGTATTTAAATAACTAGGTATTTTAAATAACAAAATTTTTAACATAAATAGATTTTAAATAGTTAAAATAAAGAAATTATGTAATGAATTTAAAAAGTAAAAAAATAAGTATAACATAAGATTGAAATTAGTAATAATTTAATATTTTTATATAATATTGTAAATAACTAATTTCACTTATATCAAGTAATAATTCGAGAAAATAACTTTCAAAAGATTAATATTTTTTAATAATGATTTTAATCTCTTAATCTGTATTTATTATATAATTATATATTCTAAAATTAATATTTATTCTATTTCAGTAATTATTTATTGTTTTTATGATAAATTTATTTTCAATGATTATGTATAAATTTATTTTGTTTTTCAATAATTATTGGAGATTAAACTACTTTTAGTGAAGTTTTTAAATTTAATTTAGTGTACTTATTGTATTTATCGTATTTTTTTTATAACTTATTGATTAATATTTATTAGAGATTAAACTGTTATTTGATATTATACTATTTATTGACTAATTTAATATATTTTTAGTATGTATTGTATTTTTGTAATTATTGTATTTTTTTCATTATCTATATATTTTCAATAATTGTGTATTTTGCTATAAATTTTCAATAGTTATTGGAAATTAAACTATTGTTATTTATCAGAGATGAGACTATTAATTTAGCTGAAATTACGAGTGTTCATGAGTTGGTTCGATTTGGTCGTGGGCTATTTGGCCAACCAAATTGATCTGGTTAGGTTGGCGAGTTGGTTAGCTAAAACCAATTGACCTTTTGTAAAAACTGATCCACTCAAGTTGTATCGGTTTGGGTTGATTTTTTGGTTTGGTCAGTCGGTTCAAAAGATTTAAACTTAAAAATTAAATTAAATTTTAAAAATTACAGTGCAATTATTAAAAAATAATTTTAAAAATTAGATTTATGATATAAAAAATTTTAGACTAAGAAATATGGGAAATTTTCCACTTTCTATATTAAAAATTATATTTAAAATATAAAATATTAATATATATCCATGGTTAGCTCATTTGATTTTGGTTAGTTTACAAATGGCCAAAGTGAAACAAATCCAACTCGGTCGAATTGGGAAATTTTTGAACCAAAGCCGACCTAAAATACTAGAAATCGACCAACTCGGGTCGAGTTGATCGGGTTGGTTAGTTTCATCAATTTGATGAATAAACCTAATTGAAATTAATTATTGTTATTTTTGTATTATAAAAAATTATTAAAAGTAGTATATAAAATATGAATAATTATTAATTATTTAAAAAGTTGCTAAAATAAAACAATTGTTTACTCTCATGTGATTCTATTGGTGTCCTTTATTAGAACACATCTTATAGTTTTACATATTTACTTAAACCTACCTTATAGTTTTCATTTTACTAAAACATCTCATACATTTTGCAACTTATTTATTTAATCAACATTTCATTAAGGAGCGTTTGTTTTGCCATTAGGCCTGTGATTTTTTATTCCAAAAATACCCTTAACGCTTTTTTATTTTTGTACAGAAAACAAAATTAACCAAATATAGCCAATAGAATAGTTGACCGTGCCTTATAAAGGGCAAAATTGGTATTTTTATTGTTTTCTTTTGATTAAATTTATTTAAATGAACATTAGGGTCAACACTATCATTTTCCATTGTCATCTAATGGAAGATTGATTAAATCCATTGCAAATTATAAGTGGTGTTTTAGTAAAATTTTAACTATAGGGTAGATTTTAATAAATCCATGGAACTATAAGGGGTATTTTAGTAAATGACCATTTTTTATTATTTAGCTTTCGCTTAATAAATCCCATGCATCGCATGGGTCCCCGCTAGTATTTATATAAAAACTAGAAAATCACCTTGGAAGGGTACTATTATGATATTTTTATTCATGTATTTCGACAAATTTTGTTTGATACGGATAAATTTAGGTTATAATTTTATGGGCAAATTTATTAAAGTATCCTTACGGTTTAAGAAATTAACTAACTCTACCCTTACTATTTACATATTGTCTTAAAGTATCCTTAAGATTTTTGACAATTGCCTACAACTTTCAACTTTCTCACTCTCTATTCACATATAACACCAAGTGACTGATATATTTTTAGAAATTTCTAAAATACCCTTTAATGGTTTTGGTGTCCTATTATAAATGACAAAAACCCACGAGGCCAATGACCGAAGGAGAACCTGTTGTTGTTGTGGCAATGGCGCAGGCAGGGGAAAGCATGAAGGAAAACCTTAAACTATGATTTGTGTTATCTTACAAAAAACAAAAAACTAGTAGCTCAAATGTTACCTTAGATTGAGCTAGAGTTTGCGTCTCTGTATCTTAAATTCCGAGTTCAACAAGAATGAGGTGTAGAGAGAGGGAGAAACGCCAATGATGGCATTGGCTTCTGGGTTCGGGTGGCTCGACGGTGACGGAAGGATACCTGAAGACCGGAGAGGTGATTGGTGAAGGAATAAGGTTTGAGATGAGGAACGAACCGCCCGAGTTGCACCCCTCCCAACTTGAAGCACAACTGAACTGATATACCAAATAACGGTAAATCGAAGGTAGGGCTATAGAACAAGAATGCAAATGACAATGAAATGTATGATGCTGCAAATGTAATTCCGTTGTAGTCTCGGCTCTCACCCGAGAGACCCGGGTTCGAGTCCCAGCAACGGAACATTTTTTCGTCGAACATAGTTACACCAAATCTTTTTCTCTTTTGCCTCCTACGTCCCACCCTAAAATACCAATTTTCCCAATAATCTTATATTTTAATTTAAGGGTATTATAGTCAATTGACAAAATAAAAAACGAATACAAAACCCTAGCACGGCTTTCATCCTTTTAGGGTTTCTTTCATCTCTCCCGCTTCTATCAGAAGAGCATCAAACCTCGCGGTTGCCACCGTAAGCTCGCCAGCGGAGAGCCATGGTGATTCTCTCTATCTCTGCTTAACAGTCAATTTTGAAAAAGGTGTCTTTTATTCTTTCTAACTAAGCTTTTCTACAATCAAATCAGGCTTCGGAGAAGAAGCTTTCGAACCCAATGAGGGAGATCAAAGTTCAGAAACTCGTCCTCAACATTTCCGTCGGAGAAAGTGGAGACCGTCTCACCAGGGCCGCGAAGGTTTTTCTTACATATCCGAAAACGCCAATCTACTTCACATCCGATATTCTTCACTGGTTCATTTTATTTTGTTTTTAGTTTTGACTTGGTTCCTATTATAGGTGTTGGAGCAGCTGAGTGGACAGACCCCGGTGTTCTCAAAGGGTGAGTTCGAATTTATCTTCATCGGATAACTTCATTTTCTCATGTGTAAGTTCTTATCTTTGGATATTATGTGCGGTTGTTCAACAGCTAGGTACACTGTTCGATCTTTTGGGATCAGGCGTAATGAGAAGATTGCATGCTATGTCACCGTTAGGGGTGAGAAGGCAATGCAGCTTCTGGAGAGTGGATTGAAGGTGAAGGAATACGAACTGTTGAGGAGGAACTTTAGCGATACTGGATGTTTCGGATTCGGAATTCAGGAACATATCGATTTGGGAATCAAGTAAGCCATAGTTCCTCTCATTGTCCATAAATATCTGATTTTTCTAAATCTAGTTGTTATCAACGATTTCCTTCATTGTTCAAATCTAATTTGTACGTTCTGTTTGCCTTGGGTATAATTTTTTTTTTTTTTTTCTGTCAATGGTTAATCATATACGAATCTGTAGATTATAGATTGTACCTTGCTTCTTGCTTCAAGTATAAATTGCTTTTGGAAATAATATTGTACTCTTAATCTGCTGTATGATCGTTTATTAGTGTGACTAATGAACTGAGGTGGTTAACATATGCACTTAGCAGTACTTATTTCAATTATCCTCTGTTACTGGTTTGGATATGTTTAAAATGTGTTATTGATCAAGAGGAATAGTTAGGATGGTCTATACTTGAAAATGGTTTGAGAAGGCTCTTTTTCCCGATTCCTTGACATTGCAGGTTGCTAATTCTTTTAAATTTATTTCAAGAGCTAATTTGATGATTAAGTACGGAGAATTCTATAGCTACAATAGTTACTGATCAAAAAAAAAATCTATAGCTACAATAGAAGTTGCTTTGATATGATATATTCTCAGGAAAGTCACGGGTAGTTATAGACGTTGCTTTGTATTGAACTACTGTGCCTTTAATTTAACAATGGACATGGGATTAAACTGAAGTTACAGAACAGAATTCTTCTGGCCGGCCCCATATAGTTGGTATAAGGCTTGGATGATGATGATGGTGTATTTAACTACCATATATATCTTTTATTACATTGGAATAAAGCATGGATCTTCAAGTCATCAACCTTTGTGTTCTGTGTATATGTTTGCTTACATTGGAAACTGATTTATACCATATGATTCTTCCATTTTGAGTCGGCCAAGTTCGTTCTCATGGTTTGAGGCACTCTCACCTGTTTTCCTCTTGTAGAAAGAAAAACTCCTATTAATTCTAGGACATGGAAAGGCAATGTTTAGTTTGAAGGAAAAGGTAGGGAAAGGAAGGGAAAGCCAGGGAATGCCAGGGAATTTGTATGTAAAGGTTTCCCCACCTTTCCCTTCCTTTCCCTACTTTTTCCTTCAAACCAAATAGCCTAAGGGTTTTCTATTGCTCTTGAAACAACAACATACACAGTTTAGAGGGTCTCCTTATTTTCAAATCGTTGCTATATTGGTTTCTGTTTCCCATAAGGGTTTTGAAGGTTAACATCCTGCAATGGATTCTATCAAGGTTTAAAATTATTGTATAGGCAGATCATTGATATTCCAAATATCAACGTTTTGGGATTTTGACCTATTGCTAGGCAGGCCTAAGACCTACCCCTCTGCCCTATTTTTGAAAAAACTAAAAAAAGTAGGATGAGTGTGGTACAAAGTACTGGTACACCCCTTCTGCCATATTGGGATGTATCAATTCTTTGAACCTTGGGTTTTAGTAAGTAGTAATTACCATTGTTGCATGGGCTCTCCTAATTGTCTGTATTGGATGGTTCGAGTTTTGACACCCCACAGATTCTTTTGGGTACATCTATGCAACATTTCCCTTTTTATCTTCTGATTTATTTGACATAAATGAATAACTAATGTACAAGGTGAATGGCATTTTTCATATTTGAACATTACTTAGTAATAATGGCAACATTTTAGGCCCTCCTTTTGCATGTATGCAATTTTGGAATTCAAAAAATATAAACTATTTTAATAGTACACATGTTGGATTATAACCCGTTTGTTTTCTGTGTACATGCAAACTGGCCGTTATTCATTGTTATATTATTTTTTTACTTGCCAGGTTTTTTTTTTTTTTATCCAGATTGATTTGCTCATTGGGATAACGAATATCTTTGCTAATTTCTTTTTTTGGGTGTTCCCTCTAGCTTATTCTTTGATTAGATATAGCCAATTTTTTTCTTTAAGTTGGAGACCAAGAAGGAACTTTTATTGGGATAGATTAATGGTAATGTCCTGATTGCTAATGCTAACTATCTTGAATTGTGTCTAATTCATGTAGTTCTTTGTAAGTTCCAACACAGGCACGATATTTTTTCTGCCATGCTAGGGAATTTAGTTCTATTCATGTGATTTTGGATTTTCAATCTTTCTGTAGGACACTCCTGTCTAAATAGAGACTATGTAGTGATAGAAGTGGCATAGTTTGTACTAGTATTTTTTAATGATTAAATTTGGAAAATTTAGCATACTATTTTAATTTTTGATTTTTATCAAATTCCATTGTAGAGTCGTTATAAATAAGGTTGATGAAGTTTTAGTAACTTCTTTGTAGACTTATAGTTGTGTCCTTTCGCAAACATGACCACCATCTGTATAGATTTTAACTCATCCCTGTTATATGCATGTTTATATCCATATACATGTTTGTGTGAATTGCACGCATGTTCACTCATGCACTGAAATCCTTTTTCTTGCACCCAAGGAGATGAGATGTATTGAGTACGTTCTTCTGTTCTAGGTATGATCCTTCTACAGGCATTTATGGTATGGACTTCTATGTTGTTCTGGAGCGTCCGGGCTATCGTGTTGCTCGCCGTCGTAGGTGCAAATCTCGTGTTGGGATCCAACACAGGGTCACCAAGGAAGATGCGATGAAGTGGTTCCAAGTGAAATATGAAGGTGTAATCCTCAACAAGTCTCAGACTATTGCAGCTTCGTAGAGATCCTACTCATATATATCAAATTTTTAAGTTTTGGCAACTTAGTAGACCGTGAATTTCCCTTTCATTTTTTTTTGTAAGAGAATTTTGAAAAACGGGATGCTATTGGTAGTTTGTGTTAATTGTTTTAACTTTTAGTTTCGTCTGTCTATTGGAATGCATTTGATTATTAGCTATCATTGCGAATACAATATCCAATTTGTGTTCCTACGCCATTTTCTCATTTTGTTACCATATCCTGTCTGCAACGTTTTTCATCTTTTTTGCTAGTCCAGTTGCCTTTTAGTCGTTCCACTTAAATGTAATGCCATGGGAAAAGAAGATGGTTTTGACTTTGGAGGTATTTCAGTATCAGTGGATGTTTAAAGCCTTTGACTTTTTGGTTTATCCTTGAAACTAAATCATTTTAATTGCTTCTGTGAATCTCTTCATCATTGACAAACCAAATCAGTTAGCTGCTTAGAAAGAATGAGGATGGTGAGGGAATGAAATGCGATATTCTTCTTTTTCAAAAATCACATTTCTCATTTCTCATGCCTTGGCCATATTTGGTTTGTTGAAATTGGTCTCATTCTTTTAATCCTTGCTTATTTTGTGTGAGAACGGGCAAAGAATGAAAAACTTGAGTGCATTTGATTACAAAATTTTTGCCACGAGTCTCATTTTTTAATGAAAAATCAGCCCATAGCACAAAAATTGGAGTAGAGTAGTAGACAACAGCATGAAAAATAATCATGTTCCATCTTGCCCATTTGTATTTTTTTTTAAATTTTATGTTGGCGATTATAAACAGTTGGCCTAGGTTTACAAAAGCACGTCATTGTCGTGGAAACTTACGAAACTTACGTTAAAATACATTGATTGTCAGCCATCCCTCATTATACATCTATGCCAATTATTTTGGATGCTTGGGCTAGCGGTTTATGACCATTGGCACAAAGGATTTTTGAAGAATGAAAATGAGCAACATAAGTCACTTCCTATCTAAAAAGAATTTATTTTTTAGGAAAACAGTATTTGGTTTATATTAATATTTTTTCATTCTATCCATTTTTACCTATTTTTGTAGAGTTTAGAATTTCATCTGGGTAAGAATGAGAATTGAAATCATGGTCTAGATAGATACATGCAATGACGTTTAGCTATAGATACAATTTATGGAGCCATGCAAGAATGGGAGAAAGTGGCATTGTGAAGTTGGTGCCAAGGTTCAAAATATTGATACGTCGGTAGGGCGTATCAGGCTATATCGGTACTATTTTTTTATTTTTTTTAAACTAGTTCAGGGGATCAGTTTAAGGCTACTCCATCCCCTGAACCGGTCAGAACCCCAATACACCCTTTGTAGGGGCATATCAAGGAGCTCCCGAAATGATACGTATCGACCGATACATGTCGATACTTTGAACTTTGGTGCAAAGTTAACCAAGGGAGATGAGATATTTTTTGTGAAGAATAGGGAAATGAAGGGTTGAATCTTGGAGGTTTGGCTTTCAAAAAAAATGGAGGTTCAAAGTAAATTATTTTTGAGGGCGGTGATTTGCAATAGAGTTTTCATGGGTTAGTATTGTGACTACAATGCATCTCTCCTAGGGAAGTCGGGTCTCGTTGGATGTGAGTGGATGCAATGGCTACCAGTCAAGAAGATTTTGAGCAAAATCATAACGACTTGCCCAGTTTGAAGTGAATACAACAGCTTTTGGTGGTACCTTGAGAGGTTGCAATAGACCCAAAAGCGAAGGTAATTCACTAATTTAGGAAGTTGGCACATAGGCCATGTTTGGTTCAATTCTCATTTTTTCTTATTTTTATCTAAGACGAAATTCTAAAATGAATAAGAATGGGTAAAAATAGGCAGAATGAGAAAATATTGTTTTGAACCACACTTCTTCCTAAAAATGAATTATTTTAGACCGACAAGTGTCCTATGTAAAAGTACTTTTGTAAAAGCACTTGTGATTTCATAAAATACTTTTATAAAAGTGCTTTTGTAAAAATACTTTTATAAAAGTACTTCCGTAAAAGTATTTTTATAAAAGTATTTCCATTAAAGTTCTTTCGTACAAGTACTTTTGTAAAAGTTCTTTCATAAAAATACTTGCGTAAAAGTACTTTTGTAAAAATACTTTCATAAAAATGCTTGCGTAAAAGTACTTTTGTAAAAATACTTTCATAGAAGTATTTTCATAAAAGTGCTTTTACAAAAAAATTCTTTTATAAAAGTACTTTTGCAAAAGTTTTCGTAAAAGCATTTTTATAGAAGTGCTTTCGTAAAAGTGTTTTTATTAAAATGCTTTTGTGTAAAAATGCTTTCATTAAAATACTTTCGTGTAAAAATACTTTTGTAAAAATGCTTTCGTAAAAGTACTTTCATAATAGTCTGTTAGTAAACATTTATGGCAGCAGTTTTATTTATAGGCAAAATTTCCTCGAAGAATGAAAATAAGCAAAATAGGGCAATGATTATTTTTCATGCTACAGGCTGCATCAATTTTTGTGTTGTGGGCTGATTTTTCATTATAAAAAGAATGTGGCCCATGACAAGAATTTTGTAATCAAACACTAATGTTATTCATTCTTGCCTAGAACGAGCAAGAACGAGGCCAGAACAGTGAACAAACATGGCCTTAGCAACTTAACAAAATGGATGATTATCATAGTTCATACCCATTGAATTTGATTTTTTGCCAGAATTGATGGGTGAATTTCGAAGATAATAGCTCAAGTATTTTATTCTGAAAATTTAAGTCCATCTTACAAGAACAAATGCAACCTATATGTTTGCAACTGCATATGCACTGCTCTGGGGATCAGACAACAAAGGAATATTCAGCTTATACAACTAAATTTTACTTCCAAGTTTCAATTCCCCCGCTGAATCACCCCACCGATTATCATTGATCATCTTGCCAACTTTACATAAAAGCTTATCAGAATAGTGTAACTGAACTCGACTGGGCCAATTTAGATATCAACCCAGAGAGAGGGGAGGGGATGCTGAGAAAGTTGACGATGATTTTATCCCAAGTTCAATTAAAGCAAGAATAAATCAACTCACTTTGCACCAGAATATCTCCAGCAAGAAGGAAGAACAAAGACAAAAAATTCTGGCCCCTGAGAATCACTTCCCAGATCAGGAAGCCTCAATCTGTCACTAGGACAATGACGAGCCCTTCAACAGCTCAACCAGGTCACCCTTCTTCAACCTTGAGTAACCTTTAATTCCTCTAGATTTTGCTAGTTCTTTCAGCTCAGTAAGTTTCATTTCCTCTATTCTCCGTGATTTTTTCCCCCCAACTGTGGTGAATGATACTTCTCTTACTGTAGTTGCTTCAACAACTTTTGCTCTTGGGGTTGACAACGATGGGATCGGTGATCTCTTCACAAATTTTGATGGAGGCCTCGTCAATTTAAACTCTGCTCTTGGAGAATCATCCTCTATTACGCGCTTTTTCTTTGGTTCAACTCTTCTCCGGGGTGCTATTTTCCCATATTTCCTAGGAACTGTATCTGCCAAAACAGAATAATCAAGGTGAATAGAGCATCCGGTATAATTTATAGAATGGGAACATCATTTCTAACCCCCCCCCCCCCTTTTTTTTTGCTACAGATTTTCATTGCATGGATGGATACAAAGAGAAGCACATCATTGTGTGTTCTGCTAGCTTTCTGCCCAGTAGAACTGTACAAGTACCAGCACTTGTCCTGGAAATAACATGTGGGGGAATCACGGCCTTGGGCCCGAGTCCTGTATCCCAATTCAAAAATGTTTTTTCCAGTCACAGAGAATTGTCAAATCATCTAACTAGTCACAAAGTTGAATATTTCCCTATCAACTGCATGGGATACGGCACCATCTCACTAGTAATTACCTTGTTTTCTGGATTGGCGGAGAACTTCCAAAACTGATTCTGCTGATTGTTTTCCTTTAGAATTGTCAGAGCTTCTCTTCTTATTACTTCCAAGCCCTCCTGAGATTGAAGACTGTATCCGTCTAAATAATGCAATTATCTCCTCCTGGTTGGAACCAGAGGAATTCCCATCAGATGACAGAGGAGTCTTCAAATTATCATCCTCCTTTGGAGTTCTACCAGATCCAATGTTCCTACGTGGACGGCCTCTCCTGCTTCCTTCAGACCTTATGCTTAACACAGTTGATTGAATTAATTTCCTTCTGGAAGCAAAGAGCAGAGACCCATCTGCAATCTCTGTCAAGTTCAATAAGCTGCATCAAGAGATGATCCCTCAGTTTGTAGTCTGACAAGATGGTTTAGGTCTAGTCCAAAAATTAAGAATACATAAAATATCAGTTTCTTGATTCTTGCTTGACCTGGAACTGATAAACATAAAATCAGTAGCCTATTAATGATAATCCAAACCAAGACAAAAAACATGAGTCATCTCAATGAACATTAACTGTGAAGTAGGCATTGTGTATTGTCAGCTTCAAATGTCACCACAGCTTTACAGAAAACCAAACTGAACAGTAGGAACAGTTTTAAGAAATTTTGGTTTCAAAATTTTTAGGGTCTATACAGAAAATTCTAAGGATTAATGCATACATTTTGAACTATAACAAGATATTCTGTTGACGTGACAAGACTTAATTGGATCCAGCTTGATGTTTTCCTTGAACATAAAATAGGAATCTCAAGCATTTAGGAACTGTTTGTAAGAAATATAATCTAGGAAAGTGATCATAGTTGTGAATAAACTTGTGGAAAATATCAGATATTTTCTTTTTAAGTAAAGATGAAACATTTTCTAGGATATAATGTCTTTTTCTTTGTTTCTTTTTAAGGGCTACACAGGGGGAGGGGGGTTGCCCATCCCCCAACCCATAAGCCCCCCCTCCCCAATCCAGGTGCGGGCAGGTTGGCACCTTGCACTTGGATATAATGTCTTTGATTCCACAAAGAATGGACTTTCAAAGTAGATGACCTGTGCTTTGTGAACTTGATCATTCAAGGTTTGAGGAGGAAGCAACTAAGTAGTAGCCAACAAACAATTGTCTGTGAAATAATCCCATCGTGGGGATCCAGTGCAATCATCTCAAGAAGGCGGCTGCTGGTGTAGTTGGTAAAATCACACGGGGTGGGGGTTGGATTTGGATTGAAGTTTGAACCCGAGACCTGGGATTGGATCTTGCCTTGATCTTTAACTCCTAATCACTGACCATCTTACCTACAAAAAATATGGAACTACCTTGGCTGTGGAATATGCATGTTGAAAAACAACTCTGCAACTTCATTACATAAATGCCAATTTCAGAATAGATGTACAGGATGCAAGACAAATGCAGAATAATTCTTGTTTCCAAAGCAATTGAGGTTATATCTCTTGTGAGTCATGATGTTGGAGGTTAATTTAACATATGATGATTGAAGCGTCCTAGTTCAGGACTGCATCTGATTTTTTTTTTTTTTTTTATTTCTTTTGAGTAGCCCATCCCCCAACTCATGACTGCGTCTGAATATTAAAAATGTATTATGTAGAGTGAGATGAGATCTCTCATGAAATCAGGGATTATTTATTTATCTTCTCTCTCTAAGTCTCATGACATCAGGGATTAATCCAATAACACAAAAGAAACACGGAGTTTCAGTATTTCATCCAAATGCTACCATGAATATGGGATGCCAAGTTTCTGACCATACACTTACATGACCAAAATAATTCAAAGCTCCTCAGATGTCTCTTCAGTTCCCCATTAGCCATCATAGGCTTCAGAAATTGGAACGAAATAAAGTTAAAGTGAGCATCTCAAAAGATATACATCACTGGAGCCATTTTAGTAAAATTCAGTGCTTTAAAAGTGAGAGCTGCAAGAAGAGCACAAAGCCCTTCTAGCACCTGAGGGGCAAGACGACTGTGGGCCCTGATGAAGCAAGGTGCAATTTTTTGAAAAAAAAAATCAAATAAAAACATTAATACATAAAAAATTGTGGAAATCTGAATTATAAAAGACCTCAGGTAGCCAGTGCCAGAATTGGGTTATGGCCTTTACTTGATTTGATTAACTGACTTTTCAAACTTCCAAATTCCAAAAGACTAATCCCATCTCTACTCTCCTCTATACTCCAATAATCAATCATCTAAGATCAAACTGACTCCATTAAATACAGTTGCATGACAATTTCTAAAAGGAAAAAAAAAAAAACGAATCGACAACAGTCATATAGTTAGTAGAAATATCTTTGTCATTCTCAAAACAAAAAGTCTATTTTCTTAAATCAGTGTTTGAAATAGAAATTTGCTTCAGCCATTTCTTTCCTTTCTGAACTAAGACTCCTCTGGAAAAAAGAAAACTAGCAGAATATATATAAAACAAAATGTAAATTGTTCCACCAAATAATCAGAACATGGTATTTCGATGCAAAAAATAAAAAGAGGCAAATGGAGATGCAGAGAACACAAACGTCAAAGGAAAAAAACAGGGTTAGGGTTTGTGAAGTGGAACAACCTTTCTGGGAGAAAATGGATACTCCCAGCTTGGGCTTGATGGAAGCTGGGACTCTGGCAAAGCAGAGGACACCGTTTGGAAATACCATAGCAGCTGCATGCATTTTTTTCCTCTTCCTTTTCTTTTACCCTCTGAAAACTGAAATAAGAAGGTTAAGGGGATGGTACCGTACGCACCCCCGTCCCTCCCGAACTCGGACGGAATACAAAACCTACAACTCATAAACCCAACCAGCAAAGCAATTCATTAGGGACCATTGGCATTGGGTGGTCACGGGTTCCCGGCCCACGGTTCAACGAGTTCCTGGTGGAAATTAACCCGGCAAAATTTCAGGCTTCAGCTTCATCCGTGAATCAGTTTCAGATCATCAGATGTATGGGTGATCATGGGCTGGGCAATATTGGGCTTTTGTCATTAATACATTATTACTGATAATATGTTATAATATATTGTGAATTATATAAATATAAAATATTATATAAAATATATCATATAATGTAAAACAAAACATATATAAGGCATGTATATCTAATATATAAATATATCGTGGACCAAGCTTAAAAGTGTTAGACCCGGGCTCAGCCACCAAAATTTTCAGGCTTTATACTTAGGATGGATCAAGCCTAAGCACTAAAACATGACCCCTAATTAGATGATGAGTTATAGGGCTGTCACTTGGGTGGGACCTATTGGATAAATAGTCATAGAAAATTTAGAGGAATAGCTTTGAGGTGTATTTAAAGATATTGTCTTTAAAATGTTATTTGTCTCCACTCTGATTTATTGAATTTTTTGTTGGGTTTTTAGTAAATTTATTCCTATAATATAACATAGTTTAACATGAGAAATTACAATCAGCAAAGTTGAAAAATCTTCAAAGAAACTTTATGTGAAAGATAGCAAAATAAACTGAGAGACAAGAGTGTTTTGTAGTGAAAAGTGTGCAAAAACATGTGTGTAACCCAACTTGGTTTACATCCTTTTATAGATTTTGGAGAGTCACATTGAGGAGTGCGTTTATTTGAAGAGGCTCTTTCTATAGTCATGGTTTCTGATGATGCGCAATCTGGCCGGTCTTATCTGTCAACGACCTTGCCTCTGAGCTAAGAAGCAGGGAACCTGAAACGGAGAAGATGAGGAAGCTCCGGGGGGAACCCGGTGTAAAGGCTCCGAAGCTCAAGTTAGAATCCTTCAAAGGCAAGATAAAATCAGATAGAGCAAAGTTTGCATACCTCCTCTTTGGGGGGGTGGAGAGCCTTTTATAACCACCTCG